AATTCAGAACTGTAGCACTTTACTCTGTTTGTCTTCTAGTGCTTGTTTAGGAATTCTGGACAGACTCTTCATTTTTAGAGGTCCAGACTTTGTCTTCGAGTCATTTGTTCTTGAATCAGCATAATTATCTTCAATCTAGCCGTTGAAAATCAAGAGATTGATTTTTCCTTACCAACGGGTAGAATTTCTTCATTCAAGACTTAGATAATTTTTCTAAGTCTTTTCTCACTTGTCCACTTTTTGAGAATTCCGATCTTCCTTGAGGCATCCGGTTCTTGGCTGACAAATCTGGAGTCATTCTCAGTCTTCCGGGTGAGAAAAAGATCCGCGCTAGTCTTCCGGCTTGGGTGACTTAGCCTTCAGCGGATTGTAGCGAGACATCCGGTTCTCATATAGTTTTCCGGATTTGAGGATTTACATCTGCTTTGAGAAATCCTTACTTGTCTCTGACATTTCCGATCAAGATATCCAATTTCCATATCACTGTCTTCAGGCATCAAAATGCTTAAAGAAATATCACAACTTTATTGGAAATCTCAAGAACTCGGTTCTGACAATATTTCTAAAAAGAAAAATTACATTGAATATTGGGGGAGACCTTAAGTCCCTATTACATTCTAAATACATCATCATCAAAATCTATAATTTTTCCCAACAATCATCATGGAAAAAAACATGCATAAAAATATTGGAAATTGTCTTCTTTAAAACTTAAACGGTAATCTAGGATCTGACGGTACCAAATTCATTCTTGGTATGTAAACTTTCTCGCGGGCATTGTTTCCTGATACAACAATTGCACCGATAACGTTTCTTCGTAACTCTTCAACTATTAACCTTGTACCATTACACAACCCAGATGTTTGATCAATGTTTCTTAATAATATAATTGGTACTCCTTTCTTCAAAACAATTCTGTGGTTTGGAATTTACGAACACTTGATATCGTTCAAAAACTCAATCGTTATCCAATCACCATATATGCCTACATCTGGATCTACTTGACATCAAGAATTAGAGCTCAAATACTCCGTATTTTATGCATTTGTAATTGTGCCGAAGTTCTAGCATCATTGTTCTTTGGTGTCCTTAAAATACAAATTGACGATTGCACTTGGTGCGATGCTAACACTCTTTTTTTAAAAAGTTTAAAAATAAGATGCTATAAGAAAGGATTATATTATTTATTTTATTTGTATGATTTAATATATGACATGCGTAGTCATATATTAAATCATAAAGAAATATATAGATACTGTTTGTCACATCCCCAACAGATTTATTTTTGACGTTGCTCTAGATTTTGACATTGATGACAATCTCTCAACCTCTGCAATAGAAATTACAAAAGCTAAAAACTGAAAAAATATTTATTCACATAATATTGAGTGATATATATGTTTAAATCAATTGAAGATAAAAAAGATGTGGCTGATGGGCCAATATCCAACGGGCGGCCCAAATGAATCATCCAAACAATTTGGGTCAAGCACTTGGAGGATATCAAGGCTTGGGCCGGTCCATAGGGCTAAGCCCAGTCACTTCCGGTCCAGGAACAGCTGGCAGAGTCAATCCGGAAGAGGAGACGGAACCGAATGGCGGAGACGAAGCCGGAAAAAGGGGATCGCGCCATTGACGAGATAGACTCCATTGATTATGCATTACCTTAATTGTCTAAGACTCATGTATAAATAGAGGAGACCCGAAAGGGGAGAACTCAAGCAAATCAAGCTAAGGGTACATACTCAATTCTCGAATTCTCGTTCTTAATTAGATTCTTACGATCCGCTTTCTGAGTCGGATCATTTGGTGGATTTATTGTCCATCAAATTGGTGCTCTCGTTGAGAGTTCGAGAATCATACTCAGAGGAAACCCTCCACCAAGACGATGGTGCAAACACGCAGCAACGCCAACGTTGGTACCGGAGCTCCCCACCAGGGAGAAAACAGCGCCACCGGAGGTCGGCACCCCCCCATCACTACGGGGGAGGCAGAGGCCCTCATCCAGAGGGTCGGAATCACAGCTGAGCAATTCAAGGAGGTGCTGGCGGCACTTACACCCAATCGCGAGATTGTGGTGGAGGACGTGGTTGGGGGACCCGCAGGCGGGAAGGCTGGACCTGCGGGCTCTCAAGGGAAAAAGAAGAAAGTAAGGCGGTCCCAGAAAAAGAAGGGGACCAAGCCTAATGGGAAGGCTGTGATGGAAGATGCGCTCTCCAGATTGGACGAAGAGTCGTCCTCCTTCAAACGAATGTCTACTTTTGACCGTTTGGGAGATCCCAAGTCAAAGAAACCCCGGACCTCTGCGTTCGAACAGTTGCGGGACACTCAGTCGGCCCGAAAGGGTGACTTGAGGGATACGCTCAAGGAGAAAAGAGGGGAGTCCACAGCGACCTCCAAGACCGGTTTTGAGGAGCGACGGACGACGGTCGAGGACAAAGGTGCAGCCGAGCTGTGGAGAATGTATGAACAATTGGAGAAGCGGATGGACGCCCAAAATCCCTACCGCCAGGCGGTCTTCAACGAGGTAACACCCTTCTCAAGAAGGATAATGTCTTGTCCCCTCCCGAACAATTTCAAGACTCCCCAAATCAAGGCGTACAACGGGACGACTGACCCCCAGGACCATCTTGCTCGCTTCGGGGCGAACGTGGTCATGTATGCGTATCCAGAAGAAATCAAGTGTCGGTGTTTCCTGGCGACGCTGGAAGGGCAGGCTTGTGAGTGGTTCCACAAGTTACCCAAGAGATCAATAGATAGGTGGAGCGACCTAGCCCACAAGTTCTTGGAGCATTTCGCATCCAGCCGAAGACAAAAGATCCCCTTCTCGCACTTACTCAATGTGAAGATTCAGAAAGGAGAGCAGCTCGGTCAACGTTATGTACAGCAACACCTTTAAGGAATTGGGGTTGTTTAAGAGCGACCTGAAACCCATCCGTACGCCACTGTCAGGGTTCACAGGGGATACTATCGAAGCTGAAGGAACTATCACGGTGAGGGTCGGGGTAGGAGATGGCACCCACCGACTCTGGATCGACATGGAATTCATGGTAGTGCAGCTCGACTGTGCACACCATTTGATTCTAGGGTGACCAGGGTTGGAGGACCTGGAGTGCGTAATCTCCCCCGTCCACCTGTGCCTGAAGTTCAACACCCCCACAGGGGTGGGGGTGGCAAAGGGGAACCAGAGCTTGTCACGGTCGTGCTACGTTAGGGCGACCAAAAGCCAAGCGCGGGTCGACGAGAATGTGAGCACGATCTGTGCTGCAATTCAAAAGGAAGAGGGGCGACCTCGGGCTGAGCCAGCAGAAGAAGTCGAAGAAGTTTCTCTGGATCCGACCAAGCCAGAGCGGAAGGTAAAGGTAGGTAGAACCTTACCACTCAGACTAAAGGGGCAGTTATGGGAGGTCCTCCAAGTGTTCAAAGTGCTATTCGCTTGGGGCCCAGAGGACATGCCGGGGGTCGACCCGAAGATAATTTGCCACAGGTTGGCAGTGGACCCGGCCTACAGACCAGTCAAACAGAAGAAGCGTTTCCTGTCCTCGGAAAGGAGAGAATTTGTCACCAAGCAAGTGACGACCCTGCAGTCCATTGGACATATCCGGGAAGTCCGCTACCCGGATTGGCTGGCAAATGTAGTCCTCGCACCCAAAGGAAACACCTGGCAGATGTGCGTCGACTACACCGACCTAAACAAAGCCTGCCCGATGGACCCTTTCCCTTTGCCCAACATTGATCAGTTGGTGGACGAGACGGCAGGATGTGAACTGATGAGCTTCATGGACGCGTTCAGTGGGTACCATCAGATCAAGATGGCCGCGGCGGATGAAGAAAAGACCGCTTTCATCACTCCCAACGGGGTGTATTGTTACAAGGTAATGCCCTTTGGTTTGAAGATTGCTGGGGCGACCTATGCACGGATGGTCAACAAACTGTTCGCGCCAGTGCTAGGGGGATGCATGGAAGCGTATGTGGACGACATGATCGTCAAGTCCCAACGGATGGAGTCCCATGCCGGCGACCTGGAGAAAGTGTTCAAGATCATGAAGAAGTTCCAACTTCGCCTTAACCCCAAGAAATGTACATTTGGGGTTCAGAGGGGCAAGTTCCTAGGACACATGGTTAGCCGGAGAGGGATTGAGCCTAATCAGGAGAAAGTAAACGCAATCTTAGAGATGGAACCTCCACGAAATGTGAAGGAGGTCCAGCAGCTTACCGGCAGGATTGCTGCTCTCAGTCGCTTCTTGTCAAAAATAGCTGATCGAGCGGCTCCTTTCTTTCAGACCATTAAGAAGAGCAGAGGGTTTGTCTGGACCGAAGAATGTCAACGGTCCTTTGAAGGGTTGAAAGCATACCTCCTCTCTCCACTGGTGCTTTCGAAGCCAGAGCCCAGAGAGATCCTATTCCTGTACTTAGGAATCTCTCCTCGAGCTGTGAGCTCGGTGCTTGTGAGGGAGGAGGAGGGCGTACAGCGACCTGTGTACTACGTGGCCCGGGTGCTGCGAGGGGCGGAGCTAAGGTACATGAACATGGAAAAAACCATCTTCGCGGTGGTATGTACGGTGAAAAAGCTCACCCCATATTTTCAAGCCCATCCAGTCCATGTGTTATCTCAAATCCCTATTGGAACACTTCTCCGAAGCCCAAATGCCCCGTCACGGGTCAGCAAGTGGGGAGTGTTCCTGGGATCTTTTCAGGTAGAGTTTAAGCCACGACCGGCGATAAAGGGGCAGGCGTTGGCAGATTTCGTGGTAGGATGCACAGCAAGAGAGGTGGAGTCTAGTGGAGAAGAACCCGAAGGGAGCTGGTGGACTGTGTACACTGATGGTTCGTCCGCGACTGATGCTTCCGGGGGAGGCGTCGTGGCGATATCACCGGAAGGGTTCAAAGCATATTACTCCGTGAGATTCCGGTTTAAGGTCTCGAACAATGAAGCTGAATACGAGGCGCTGCTTTGCGGTTTGAGGTTGGCAGCTTCATTAAAAGCTGAACGAATTCAAGTCCGATGCGATTCCAAGCTAATAGTAGGTCATGTCACCGGAGAGTTTGAGGCCAAGGATGAGCGAATGAAGAAGTATAGAGACACCGCCCTGGAGTTGCTCAAAGCGTTTGGAGCGTACCGGATAGAGCAGGTCCCTCGAGAAGAGAATGCTGAGGCGGACATCTTGTCAAAGCTTGGCCCCGATTCCCCAGATCATATTAAGGCAATGACCCAGGAAGAAGAATTGCTCGAACCAAGCATCAGTCTCGGACAAGTATTGGTCATCACACTCAAGGAGCCAGCGGATTGGATCGATGAGATTACCATGTACCTCCTTGACGGGTCGCCACCTACCGACCCAATCACAGCAAAAGTGGTAAAACGACGTGCACCCAGCTACACGCTGGAGTGCGGTCGGCTGTACAAGCGGTCGGCTGTACAAGCGGTCGTACAATGGTACATTGTTGAGATGCTTAAGAGCGGACGAGGCGCAGAAGTTAATGGAGGAAATCCATGAAGGGATATGCTCAGCGCATCAGGGAGCCTTCACCATGTCTAGGAAGGTAACACTGCAAGGATACTTTTGGCCAACGATTATCAGAGATTGTGCAGAATACGTGCGGAGATGCAAGGTTTGCCAGGAATTCCAAAGGATGCCGGGGCGACCGGCGACGAATTATACCCCGATCAGCACAGCAATTCCCTTTGCCCGGTGGGGTATTGATCTGGTTGGCATTTTGCCTTGGGGGACATGGAACAACACGTATCTAGTGGTCGCGATCGACTATTTCACCAAGTGGGTCGAGGCCGCCCCCGTACCAACCATCACTGAGGAACAGATGAGGAAGTTTGTGTCCAAGCAAATCTTGTGCCGATTTGGGGTGCCCCAGCAGATCATCACCGACAATGGAACCCAGTTCGAGGCCAGAGGGTTCAATGAGTTTCTACAGAGCTGGGGCATAAAGCACAGCTATGCAGCGATTGGGTACCCCCAAACCAATGGGCAGGTCTAGAACACCAATCGTACCATCGTGGACGGACTCAAGAAGAAGATAATGGAATGCAAAAGCGCCTGGGTAGAGGAATTGCCCTACATCTTGTGGACCTATAGGACCACCCCGAGGAAGGCTACAGGTGAAACTCCTTTCTCGCTCACATATGGATTCGAAGCAAGGGCTCCAGCAGAGACCTCGTTGTTGAGTCATAGAGTGGAGACGTTCGACGCCCAGGAGAATGAAGAAAACTTGAGGGCAGAGCTGCACCTCATTGATGAACGAAGAGAGAGGGCGTACATACGGGCAGAGAACTACCGCCGGCAGGTCAAGTCATACCACGACCAACGTGTGCGACCAAGGCAGTTCAAGGTAGGCGACTGGGTCCTTAGGAAAAGGGAGGTCAGTCGGCCGACCGATGGAGGGAAGTTTGCTAAGAGCTTCGAAGGGCCGTATGTTATAAAAAAAGTGTTGGCCGATGGGACATTTAGATTGCAGACACCATCCGGAGGCGACATTCCGCGAGTATGGAATGCAGCCAACCTTATTAAATTTTACCAATAGATTGTACGCCAGCCATATTTCTCTCTTAAAGTTTAATAAAACCAGCATTCTGGCATATCTTGTTTTCAATTCTAGAAAAAAAAGGAGCGACCAAAAGAGATCGCAAAGCCTAAGCTGTACGGTGATTCGTGCTAAGATACCCAACAAGGGATGAAGTGTCGAACCCTTTCTAGCGACCAAGAGTCAGGGGTGTCAAGTGATGTGACTAACCAGAGGGCGACGCCGTGGCAAGAAAGCCTGAAAAACCGGCTGAGTCTAGAACATAAGATCTGCTGATCGCATGAGCGACCAGGGGATCTAGAAGGTACGGCGACGCCATAGGGGTTGAAATAACCCGGAAATGGCTAAGTCAAAAGAGGCGAGGTATTCTCTGAATAAGGTCAGAGGAAACCTGAATGCTTAGAATGAGATGCGAAAGAGAAGAAGATGAAACTTGTGAGTAAACAGGTAACATCAAAGTACATTCATGAAAATGTTCAATACATTTCAAGGATCATCTCTTGCACCTACTACAATACAGTTGAGAACAATCTCTACATGCTTTCAAAAAAAAGAAGGGATGTTTTCCCATACATTTCTCACAAGGAAAAAGAAAAATCTAGAACTTTGTGAGCAGCCGAGGCCTAGAAAGAACGAAGGATACAGGGGAAACAGGCAAGGTTGAAAGGTAATTCTGTAGCTGTATAGACCGGCAGAGCCCAGATCACCAGCCGTCCAGAGCGACCACCTTTCTTCCCCATCATGGAACAGGAGTGGTCGCCCCCAGCCTCGGCAAAAACCCACCGTCCTTCTCCTGCAAGGGGAGGACGGGAGGCGACTCACTTTTCGGTGAGCCCCAATCAGCATCACCTAGATGAGGATGCAGACCCTGAAGCCGCTCGAACTACCCCAGATCGCCTAGGGGCCTTCCNGGGGAAGAACCCAGTTCTTCCCCCACCACAACCTCATCCTTAGGCTTCACTGGTGAACTGGTGCGACTTTCGTTAGTCCACCACTCCAGACTTGCGTAATATGCACACTCATGCTCCAAGAGGGGTAAGTGCTCATCGTGGAAGCTCTCCCAGGCCATGCATTGCAGTGAATGGAGGGGGCATGGGGCATCCCAGTCAATCCGTCCGTCAGGCAGACGGTTGGCAGAGAGAGCCTTGTACGCCTCACTGAAGTCTTCATAAGGGTTTGGCGGCAGTTTCACCGACGGCCACTGCCGGCGAGGCAGCCGGCGATAGAATTCGTAAGGGTCTAGCCCCCCCAGTCATTGGAGTTGACTAACTTGGGGGAGGAGGCAGGCTCCGGCGAAGAAGGAGCCGGCCCGTCGGAAAGATTCAGAGAAATAGGGAGTCCTTTAGACATGACAAAGATGGAGAAAGGGAAAATATTTGGTGATGGAACAAAATGAAGGCTAGGGGGGCTTATAAATAAGCCCAGGTGAAGAAACCGAAGAGACGGTCAAGTCCCAAGGCAGCTGAACCGATAAAGCAGCTTTGAGCCGCGCGAAGGTCCAATCAGAGACTACAAGGGGCATTGGGACAGTTGGGCGGCACGTTGGCCAATCCTGAGATTGGGCCTGGTCAGGTAATCCGGCCGGGATTAGAAGTTGGGCCCTAACGAAAACGTCCATGTTAACCAGCTAAATTAAAAAAGAGAGTGATGAAGTAAAACGCCGAAAAAGGAAAGCACATGGTAAATCCAGAAAATCAAACAACATAGGAGCATTGTATCAAAACGACATATCATTCCAAAAGGGAAAAAAAGCAAGTGTTTATGAAGCTGTGGGGAAACAACAGGGGAGGTTAGACGGCCGAGCCGGAATGTCCACCCGCCTTGGACGTGGCTAAGCTGACCCCGGGGGTCTGGTCGCCCTGTCCACCTTCCTCTTCTTCTTCCTCCTCTCCTTCAGACGCGCTTGAGCTCCCTCCGTCCAAGTAAGGACTGGGTCGAACTCGGCCAAGGAACGGCAAGGAGGGGGAAAGCCGAGATCGGGGAGAGAGAATCCTTTGGGGAGCTGAGCCAGTCTGTCGCGGAAGACCTGTTGGGCGCAGAAGAGTCCACAATTGAAGGACTTGGTCCCCTCCCTGACCATCCATCGAGCCCCAGGTTCAGTTTTGAGCCAAGCGGCTGTTAGCTCGTCCATCCGCTCCATCGCGACCATCGAGAAATCAGGAGAAGACTTGAAGTATTCCACCGCTTCCTCTGCGTGGCGGACCCGGTCGCTCCTCTCCACTTCCAACTGCTGGATCAGGTCAGACTTCTCCCTTTCCAGCTCGACCACGCGAGCAGAAACTAATTCTACCTCCAAGGACAAGGAGGCCTTGTCTCCCTCAAGGGCGACGCAACGGTTCTCCTAGGAGGTTTTCTCCACAGCGAGCGCCGCACAGCGATTTTCCTTCTCCTCCAGCTCCCTTGTGAGTTGAGCGACCTCCTCCTGCAATTCCTTCTGCCTGGCCTCCGATGTCTTCAACGCCTCGCCCAAGGCAGCTTGGTGGCCCCGTCTCCTACCGACCACCTCAATCATCCCCAGCGTGGCCTGCACCAAGGCATGGGGGTTAATAACGTAAAAAGAAGGAGGGATGCAGAGAGAATGAGTGCAAGTACCTGGCTTAGCCTCAAGAGGACCATGTTATCAAGGTCGTCCTCAAAACCGGCCGAGATGCGGGCTTGGTCCTCTGCGGGCAGGGTGATCAGGGTCTCCAGTTGCACGTCCCCTAAGCTTTGGGGCAGAGGAGGAATGCAAAGCCTCGTCGAGCGACCCCCGGTCGCCACCTCGTAGGTCACCGCGGGAGGCGAAGGAGGTCGCTCCGAGGCAACACCTTGCGACGACCCAGCGAGGTCGCCACCCGGCATCACAGAGTGAGGAGGGGACTGGCCCGTCATTGTACCCGGTTCCAGGGTAGCATCATCCTGGTCCTCCACTACAATTACAGCCGGCTCTCGGGAAGGACTCTCCCCATGGTGGGATGAAGAGCGTTTGCCCTGGCCCTTCGCCTCTCTCTTCCTCTTCCTCCTTGCAGTGAAGCGACTAAGTAGGAGATCGCCGTCCATCTCTTCTCCTGAATCTTGTAATTCCACTGGAAACAAAGGAAATGGTCAGCCTTGGAAAAAGATAAACTAAACATCCGGGCAGAAGCAAAGGTCAATTACCAAAAGGACCACAGTCAAGACCTTCCTCAGGAATGTCCTTCAGCTGGTCAGGCTGATGACCCCCGGGAATGTCCCTCAGTAGGTCGGGTTGGTGACGAAGCTCATCCTGAACAAACTCAAACCCCAACTCGGCAAGGGTTTCCTCTGTCACCACCTCTTTGATGTTCATAACTCCCTTATTGCAGAGTTGGCGAGTGATGGACAAAAGGGTGGCATCAGGTGGGGGGCATGGGATGCGGCGGAAGGAAGGGCGCCCTGAACCCGTGAAAGGAGATTCGGGCCCCGTCGAGACGAAAACGAAGAAGGGTTTCCAGTCTTTGGTCGACCCCTTCTTGTCACTAGCAAAGAGCTTACTGGACCTCTGGGAAAGGCTGGCATAGGACGCCCAATCCTTATGGCCCTTGGTCAGCTTGAAAGTGAATAGGAAATGGTTTAAAGTTGGTTTCACCCCTACAACCTTGCACCGGACCAAATAACCGGCGATGTACCGGTGAGAGTTGGGGACCAACTGACACGGAAGAAGGTCCACCACGTTGAGGAATTCGATCAAAAGCGGGTGGAGTGGGAAGCGCAACCCCTTCTTCAAAGACGCTAGATGGACCGTGAAGAACCCTGAAGGAGCGTCCAGGGCGGTTTGGGTGCTGGTAGGTCTCAGGACTTCAATGGAAGGTCCGACCATGTCAGTAGCATCGGCGAACCCCCGATCAGTAATCTGGCAATGGCACAGCACCATGATGTTTTCGTCCAATCCAACCCTCGAGCCCTCATCTACCGGGGTTGAGGAAGGGAATTGCTTCCTCAATCGACGCCGTTTATGGCCAGACACGGCCGACGGCGATGGCTAGGGTGATTGAGTGTGGCCGGGGTTACGGCCAGAGGCCGATTGATCGGCTTGGCGAGAATTGGACGATGGGGTAGCCGAATCGGAATCTGAAACAATCATGGCGGCGAGAAAAGGAACTGACCTGGAAAGGAAGAAGAACGGGTCGAGTAGTAGCGGAATTGCAGACGAATGATGGTGAAGAAAGCGAAAGAAAGAGATGGCGTCCAGCGGTGGTTTTTAACTGACAATGGGGAGGCGAAGCGGCAGGTCATGATTACCTATTCGTGGAGATCGTGTCTAAGTGTCACGCGGAGCCCAAGAAACGGCCCGGATCCGTGCTGGAGCGCCCACGTGGACTTTGTAAACTCCCCATTCCTCAACTGGGCCCAGTCGAGGATTGAGGAGTTGGGGGGCTTGTGATGGGCCAATATCCAACGGGCGGCCCAAATGAATCATCCAAACAATTTGGGTCAAGCACTTGGAGGATATCAAGGCTTGGGCCGGTCCATAGGGCTAAGCCCAGTCACTTCCGGTCCAGGAACAGCTGGCAGAGTCAATCCGGAAGACGAGACGGAACCGAATGGCGGAGACGAAGCCGGAAAAGGGGGATCGCGCCATTGACGGGATAGACTCCATTGATTATGCATTACCTTAATTGTCTAAGACTCATGTATAAATAGAGGAGACCCGAAAGGGGAGAACTCAAGCAAATCAAGCTAAGGATACATACTCAATTCTCGAATTCTCGTTCTTAATTAGATTCTTACGATCCGCTTTCTGAGTCGGATCATTTGGTGGATTTATTGTCCATCAGTGGCAAATAAACCATCTTGCACTCTTCTTTGTTGAAGTATATCTTTTCGCTGTGTTCTTACTTCTTGTGCCAAAACCCATTTCTCTTTTCCTTGGCCCTGCGTCACTATTATCCAAATTTGTACACAATCAAATTCATTTCAATATGTCGAGTATTTTAATTTAAAAATTATCAAAAATCATGACAAATATTTAAAAAAATAAAACAATCGGATAAAATGGTTTAGTTTAAGATAACACATAAAAACAAACCTCGTTTTTTAGTATTACACTTAAATAATTGTTTTCTTATACATTTTATTTGCACATACCTTTTATACTACTTGTAATACATAAAAATTCTCTTCCCAACAAAAAATGGATTTTTTTTGTTTTTGTAAAAAAAAACTTCTTATCAAACAATAAAAATTGTGGGGTATAATATTTTTTTGAGGAAAATATCTTCCTCTATACTAATTGTCTAGAAACATATTTTCCCTCAACCAAATGCACCCTTAACTTCTAACTTCTAACTTCTAACTTATTTTAGTATCTTTCATCTCTTTCTAGTTTTTTCTTAATTAGTTTTTCTAATTTCTTTCAACTTTTCAAATTTCTTCCTACTCTTTCTAGTTTCTTCTAAATTCTTCTGAATCCGAAAAGTTAGTGGATGTAGAACTTATCCGCACTATTATTATCAAGATATGTATGGATCCAGATAAACTTATCAATGGATAGAGATTATAATTCTAATAGTAACTTAATAAATTTAATTATATGTTGTATGTGATGAAATAAATAAAATTACACCACAAATACATTATTGATCACTCACTAATTTCACTATTAGGAATATATATATAAAATATTGTAACAACATAAAAAAGGGTAAATATTACTCAATTGTTTAAATTGTTAAAATAAAAAACACTAACTATTGAATTACATAAAAGAGAAAATGACTCTAATATGATAATATACACAATAATATGATTTCCAAAAACCAGTTAAGTATGAACACATTTAGGAAACTAAAACTATGTAGTCCTATTACAATTAAAAAATAGAGTTTCACATTGGGAGATTAGCATACAGACTTGCATATGCACGCACACCATCTTTTCTGGTCTCTGATGGTCTCCTTTTGAAATGTAGTCAAGAACACAAACCTATATAACATATCAAGCTCAAAATATAATAATTCTGATCTTTCACACTACTAATAAATGCAAGCTTTGTTAGTCTAACTTCTGTTAGAACAAAATATGTAACGCCCCGAAAATAGGCCTATCAAAATTAATTAACTGATAATTAATTAATTACTGAGAAGGACCCAAAAATAAGTGAATTATAAAGTTTGTCAATAATTAATGAAAATTATATCGTTGTGTAGGGTTTGATTGTCTGACCACAACGGTTCAATCAGATTCCAAATCGGAGAAAGTTAGACAAAAAAGTTTACCCCGATTGGGACCAAATATTAGTCCCAATCAGGGAACTACACTACAATCGGCGCTACTGTTCGAACGACGCACTAGCCGCTCCAGAGATTCACGGAAATTTCTTCAAATGTCCTCTTCCTCTTCTTCCTATTATATAAGAAAACCTAACTTCTTCATTTCTTCACCAAATCATTCAATATTTCTTTCTATCCTGCTGCTCTAAGTGAGGAGAACACTTTGGTGTTGACAAATCAGTGAGAGGTCACCGGAGTTGAGAGCTTTTGTCGCCGGAAATTTCGCCGTACTTTCGCTGGAATCTTCGTTTAGCTTCGAGGTAAGCCCGTAGATATATCTAATGACTAGAATGTTCATATAGGTCGTTTCTACGTTCATAAATAGTCATTTGGTTGAGTTTTGTGTTTAACATGCTTGAAGAACTAAGAATCATAAACTTTGAATTTGATGTTAAAACTATGAATTAATGATACCAAAATGATCTATGAACCTTGGAGAACATTTCTATATACTTTAATTGAAGTTTGGTGACCAAAAATGACATTTCCGTAAGTTGACTCGAGGTAGAAGACGATGAATAATCAATTATAAACTTAAAAATCGATTATTCATCATTCTGCAGATTTTTGGAACACAGCAGCACAACAATCGATTGTCAGAATGTGACAATCGATTGTCAGACTTCTCTGAAAATGAATCAAAAGTTGATAATCGATTACCAGAATGTGATAATCGATTATCACCCCATTCTGAAAGTCAGATAATCGATTATCAAAAGTGATAATCGATTATTTCCCTACTTTGCTGAAGAAAATGAAGTCATTAGCTATGAATCGATTTTCCTATCATATATAAATCAATTATTGTTCAGAAAACATGATTTTTGAACTATGAAATCCTATTTTTGATACCAATCAATAATGATTAATATAAGGATGATTTCTTGGAATAAAAATGATGTTTTTAGGACCATACGTGATGCATGACGGTAAGCTAGGGTGTTAACACTCGATGCCAGGCCGCTATTTTTTATTGGATATTATGACAATTGGTTGATTGTTGATTGTGATGAATTAATGATTATGAATTCTGAATGACGATTATGGATTTGTTAAATTGAGAATTATGAATTAATGAATCGTATTGTTAAGGCTACTTAGAAGACCTCTAAGATAGACCTCTGATTAGAATGGGCCTTACGGATATAGAAATGTATATTCGGTGGCCTTGGGTAAAAACGTACGTTCAGGGTCCATAAACCAAACTTGAGGATCACTCGTTTGGGGATACCACCCAACCTGACAGTTAGTATTCTACTCCTCGGTTATGTGCATGGTACCTTAAGCGAAGCCTAGTTTAAGAGTTGGAAAGTCGGACGGAAAATATGTACCTTAAACTAATGACCTAGCTTTAGAGTTGGTTAGAAGTAAGAATTGGTTAGAAGTACCTTAAACTAGAATTAGTTTAAGAGTTAATAAATAAAATAAGTGATTGTCCTTAGATAGGAACAGTTTAAGGATACTGTTGAATATGGATGTTGGATATTGAATAATGAATAATGATGAATGTTATGTGCATGATATCAAATGATTTAATTATGAATCAAGATTCAATTTATATGAATGTTTGACTCTTTAGATATGCTTACTCAGCTTCACCGCTGAGTGTGTAATGTGTTTTATTTGCTACATGCAGGTGGGCAGAATGAATGATTGGATTATTCCTGGCAGCATATGGGGAGAGGTGGTCGAAAAGGATGTGTGAAACAAATTACTGTTGAAAAGACATGAACTCATTTTGATTTGTATTTTTATGAATTAATTCGCTTACGCAACATTTTTAATACTCCGTTATTATCCAGAATTATTATTATGAAATAAAGTTAAATTGTTTGAAATCTTTTGAATGTCTACGATTACCAAGTTAATACTTTAGTCCAAAAGGGGCTGCAGACCTGGACGGATTAGGGTGCTACAATTTGGTATCGGAGCAAATGGTTTTAAACCCGATCTTCGGATCAAAATTTGAATTAAAAAAATGTGTCAATCACATCCACGACTCTCGCACCCCTCTGCTCCAGAAAGGTAATGAAAATTTAAGTATTGAATTTGACTGTATTTAATTTTTATACATGTCAACTGTTAACTTTGAAATGATATCGAGTGTTGACTCAAGTCAAACTTTCGTACTAGGAAAGAGACGAAAGAATAAACGAAAAGTATATGACTCTTTGATACGTTATCAACGAGCTCATCGCATCGCAAGAATAATGAAACGAAAGATATATTTACGCCGCAAAGCTGCGTGGGAACGAGACGACCTAGAAGAGACGTTCAGTGTTGACTCTGCAAATAGTATATGTGGAACGGGCATGGAAGACCCTTCTCTAGATTCATCACGATCCAACCGATCTGATGCAAACATTTAGAATTTATCTTGTTGTCATTTCAAATCCTTTGATTGTATTGGTTATTGTAAACCTTTGCAATTTCTGTCATGAACTCAACTACTCAATAAAAGAATCCTAATAAAGGAATTGTTGTTATTGTAGAATGAGTCAAGAATCTGCCCATGGACAAGGCAACAACTATGAACACGTTAGTCTTCATACTGAATCGTCTAGCTTCACTCCTCCTGTCCACAATGAACCCATCAATCAGCAAAATGTCAGAAATAATCCAAACGCTGGGGTCAAAATGACCTTGTGATTCCGACTTTTCTGGCTAATGTTCTACAACAAATAGCCAATGCGCCAATGTTTCAACCACCACCGCTACCACGTGTGATCACTTTCAAGACTCTAAAAGACAATGGAGCCGAAGAATTTCGGGGCGATCGAATTTCTGAACCTTAAGTTGCTTGGGATAGGATCGAGCAGAGTGCTCGAGTATTGGGAGATTTGAATGTACCTCTCAATGACTATCCGAGATTAGCAGCCCAACTACTTTGTAAGGAAGCTTACGAATGGTGGAAAAGGACTGACGAGAATGAAGAAACGCCAAAACCCTGGACTTGGGCGTATTTTGACTGAGCATTCAAAAAGGAACAGATTCTGGCACATTACCGCGAGGAGAAACGTAAGGAATTTGTTGAACTGCAACAAGGGGATATGACGCTCCCTAAATATCGTCAAAAATTTACCCATCTTGCCAAGTTTGCACCAAATTTGGTAAGCACCCCAGCAGATCGAATTGAGGAGTTTAAAATCAATCTTCGATCTGAACTTAGGTCGCGGGTGTCCATCTTGACCATGGTAGATTTCGCAGCAGCTTATGATCTAATCGCCAAGGCGGACAAGGACCTGAGTGCTTGCAACGAGTATATGAAGATAAACAATGTCAGTTCAAGGACCTCAGTGTTTGCCTCATGCACATATCTCAATATGCTTACATCAGAGGGATAAATTTCAATCGCTCGAGTTAATTGACCGTGAGATATGTGTAGAGGGTTCTAATAAAGATAAATATCCTAGATTTTATGAGTCTGTGACTCGATTGATAATAAATGGTCCATGTGGCATAGATGATCCTAGATCTCTATATATGGAGAATGGTAAACACATGAAATATTTTCCTAAAATTTTTTTTGATAAGACATCATTTGATGAGAATGGCTACTTGATATACAGAAGAAGAAACATGGAGGTCACCACAATGAGAAAGAATATCGAGTTAGATAATCAAATTGTTGTGACATACAACCCAAAACTCTTGAAGAGGTCTCAAGATTAATCAACATTCAATATTGTAATAAATCTAATTCAATCAAATATTTCTTTAAATATGTAAATAAAGATCTAGATAAAGTAACTGTTGCAGTTATCTAAATTCTTTCAGGTTTACGCATAGCTTTGAAAGAGAAAATTGTGAGTGCTAGCACTAATTCCTCACAAATGTGGTTGTAATGTAAAGTTTATACGTTGGTCAAGAATTTGAGATTGCATTTATCTACACCCTCTTGCACAGATAAGGACACGCGAGCTTTTTCTGTATAGATAATCAAAGTCAAAGATGGAAAACTTGGAAAAGTGATCGATGAAACGACTGGTGTTGAAATCCCGCATGAATTCTTGATTTTGACACAAGTTATCCCCTCAAGAGTATAATGAACTTCACTTTTCCGAACATATTAGAGGACATGAAAATTATTCTTTTGTTAGGATAGTGCACTATTAGTACCCATGCTCGAGTTTGTTGAATGGTAAGTGATTTTGTCATATCTCTTATTCTTGGAGGTGAAAAAGAGTACTTAAGTTCTGATTCTTCATGTCAAATATATTCAAATGTAGTTCTTCAAGATGATCGGATAACAGTTCAACTTTTAATGAAATGAAATGTTCAGAGATCCCAAATCACAAAACAATTTTTAAAAACGGGGTACCGATTATGTTATTGAAGAACATTGACCAAATATCTAGATTGTGTAATGGTAGAAGATTAATCGTTAAAGAGTTGCGAAAGCACATTATCAGTGCAATTAGGGTTTCGATAAATTGCGTTAGGAAAAAAAGGTTAACATACACCGAATGAATTTGGTACTATCTAATTCAGGACTACCCCTTAAATTGTAGAGAAGATAATTCTCAATAGTCTTATGTTTTTCTATGACTATTAACAAAAGTCAAGGTCAAATATTATGTTTTTCTGTATTATTTTTAACCAATTTGATATTTACTAATGATTAACTTTATGTTAATATATCACGAGTGAAGACAGAGACATGATTAAAAATATTAGTTCTAGATGGGAATAGAAACCCTTACAACTATACTAAAAATGTTGTGTACCCTAAAGTTTTTCAAAAAATTTTGAATTACGGAGTAAAAAATATTTTTTCGAGTACACTTTCAATTCCTCAAATATTATTTATTCTACTTTGTCATTGTTGTCCATTGATTAAAAGTTGTGTTAGAAATAAATTTACTTGATTCCAAAAAAATATACGAAGTATTACATTGAAAAAATTCAAAATTGACAAAAAATTCGTTCGACCCTGAGCATCGCACGGGTCAAAATACTAGTATATATGTGTGTGTGTGTGTGTGTGTGTATATATATATATATAGTGTGTGTGTGTCTATATATATATATATATATATATCTGTGTGTGTGTGTGTGTGTGTGTGTGTGTGTATATGGATTGACTCCAGTCAGATGACATGTTTCGGTGAGATGACACTTTCGGTCAGATGACAACGTAGGATTCATTCTCACACAACTGTTCATCACAATGTAGTGTTCATTCCAAGCCAGCGAGACGACAACATAGGGTTCATTTGGAATCCACGTAGTGTTCATTCTAAGACATCGTAGGGTTGATTTTCACACATTTGTTCTTTATAAATGTAGTACTCATTCTGAAACAACCTAGTACTCATTCACAGTCTGCCCGACTCAGTGTAGTGTTCATTCTGAAATAAGGTGGCGCTCATTCTCAAACAAGGTGGTGCTCATTCTGATGCATGTCATTTGACCGAAAGTGTCATCTGATCGAAAGATGTGATCTGACTGGAGTCAATCCCATATATATATATATATATATATATATATATATATATATATATATATAAGGGTATATCGTCTTCGTTTCTGAAACGCGTCCGAACCCATCTCCATCGGCGACGGGAAAGTTCAGAATCCGCAATGGGTAAGGTTCACGGATCCTTAGCTCATGCCAGAAAGGTGAGGGGCTAGACTCCTAAAGTCACCAAGCAAGACAAGAAGAAGAAGCCCCGCGGCCGTGCTAACAAGCGGATGCAATACAACCGCCGGTTCGTCACCGACGTTGTTGGCTTTGGTGCGCTGAAGAATGATTAATTTCCAATGATTATAAGAGGGGGATTACATGTGTATATATACAAGAGGGTTTCCTAGTTAGGGTAGGAAACATAGTAATGGTAAGCTATACAATTAAGGTAACTACAATAATTACAATATTAAAAATACTAACAATATATTTAACATGCTCCCAACGGTGCTGTTGAGGAAGGCCGAACTCCCAAGCAATCCCGAAACTCTGAGAAGATGATGGTTGGGAGACCCTTCATGAAGATGTATGCATACTGAAGTGACGAAGCGACATGAAGTACTCGAACCTGTCCGAGAGCTACCCTGTCACGAACAAAATGAATATCAACCACGATATGCTTCGTGCGCTGGTGCTTAACAGGATTTGCAGATAAGTAGACCGCGCTGATGTTGTCGCAAAAGACAGGTGTGGATCGGCTGAGGGGCTGCTGAAGCTCGAGGAGAAGGTTCCGGATCCAACTGACTTCGGCAACGGCATTCGCTACAGCTCTGTACTCGGCCTCGGCGCTGGATCTGGACGTGGTAAGTTGGTGCTTGGAGGACGAGGAGATGAGGTTCTCGCCATGAAAGATGCAATATCCGGATGTGGAGTGGCGAGTGTCAGGGCAACCGGCCCAGTCAGCATCTGAGTAGGCGCGCATGTGGTCCGTTTGTGACGGAGTGATGGAGATGCCGTGTGAGGGTGTGCCATGGAGATACCGGAGGACCCGCTTCATGGCGGTGACGTGGGACGTGCGTGGGGCATGGAGGAAGAGACAGAGCTGCTGGACTGCATAAGTGATATCAGGACAAGTAAAAGTCAAGTACTGCATTGCCCCGACGATGGACCGGTACAGAGAGGGGTCCGCGGCGGGTGATCCTCCAGCGGCCAACATCTTACCCCGTGTATCAACCGGGGTTGAAACCGGTTTGCAAGAGAGCATGCCCGCCCGATCTAAGATGTCATACAAGAACTGTGTCTATGTGAGAAACAGACCATGAGTGGTGCGCTAAACATTAATCCCTAGAAAGAAGTGAAGATCCCTCATGTCAGTCATGGCAAATTCGCCCTTCGAACTCTAGATGATCGTCTGAAGAAAGCCTTGTGAGGAAAGTGTGAGAATGATGTCATTGACATAGAGTAGGAAAAATGCCATCTGAGACCCCTGACTAAAGGTGAACAAGGAAGTGTCGCTCTTGCAGCTGCGGAACCCAAGAGAGAGTAAGAAGCCGGTGAAGCGCTGGTACCAAGACTGGGGCGCTTGTTTCAGTCCATAGAGCGCCTTGTTCAATTTGCAGACATAATGGGGGCGAGACGGGTCTTGGAACCCCGATGGTTGGGCCGTGTAGACCGTCTCAGTGAGATCTCCATGTAGAAAGGCATTTTTGACATCGAGTTGATGAATTGGCCACCCACGAGACACTGCGAGGCTGAGAATAATCCGTATAGTCGCTGGCTTGACCACTGGGCTGAAAGTCTCATCATAGTCGATGCCATGCCGCTGATTGAATCCACGGACAACCCATCGGGCTTTGTACCTGGACAGTTCACCTGTGGGGCTAAGTTTGTGTCTAAAAAGCCATTTTCCAGAGATAATATTTTGGTTAGGGGAGGGAGTACTAAATCCCATGTATTATTAGCAATCAAAGCATTATATTCATCTAACATAGTATTGTACCAATTTGGATCTTTTAGTGCACTTCAGTAGGTGGGGGGAAGAAGGGAAATGTTAGCAACGGTGTTAAGGTTGAGAATTTGTTTGGGGCAAAATATACCGGCTTTGGCGTGGGTGACCATGGGGTGGGTGGGCTTTGGTGGGGGGCTGTCTCGGGTTGGGT